GCGGAATCCACCAGGCTAAAAAATGGAGGAATCTGGTTTTCTTCGAGCACTTTCGACCTACTTTCAGAATAAAATAAAGCAGTTTCCTATACTCTTATTATCCATGTGTTTTCGGTAGAAAACTATTTGTAACGTAAGAGTCTCTTTTTTACTAATTGAATTTTCAGGTAAAATTATTATTTTTTTTTTTAGTTAGAGGTAGGGCTCATTTTGAAAGCAACATTGTAAGCTATTTAACGTGCTATTGACCTACATATATAGGCTCAGAAAATAAAAATGAAGCGAAATAAGAAGCAGATTTTCTGATGATATAATAAAAATCTATTGGAGTTAGATTGCATTCAGTCTGAAATCGTTACTGCCTATAGATAAATTTTGCTTCGTTTTTTATAAAAAAAAATATAAACAACGAAAACCGCAAGTCATCGCCATCGTCTTAATATTGCAAAGATCCCACTGGGAAAATAGGTAAGCACCTTGCGAAGTAAGCCATGTTTTCTTTCAGTTTTTAGTACCAAAATTGTCATCATGGCCAACGTCATCTACTAGTAAAGGGCAAAATGAACACCTCCGAAGACACATTACGTTGTCAGTTGCAAAATAACGTGCAGCCGAAGTTATTTCCAAGCACCGAACTACTCCGAGCGACTGCTCTGCATTACACGTAACTTACTTTGTATAGCGGCTCAGAAGTATGTCTGATACCAAATGTACATTCTAAATTCCTACTTACATAAGGCGGCCATGCCTTTGTAAAAGTAAGGGACGTTCGGCAGGGAAATGGTAATGACTGCCAGGTGAAGAGTAAGTTGCTAATAAGGTATTATTACGTGCTCCTAATTCCCACTGGGATAATAAAAACACATACACATACATATACATACATACATATATACATGTTACCCAACGGTTTCGTTACCCTGCAGAAAAGTGAAGTGATGTCTGACAAAGTTCGAAAATGGGACCACCTACAGCAGAATATGTTAACAAATACGAAATGTAATAAAATAAATAAAGTAAATAAATAAAAAAATAAAACTAAAACAAAAAAAAATACTTTGTTTTTCCTATTGATATTGTATGTCCAAAAGTAGTTAGTTACAAGTTAGTTACATCGAATTCAGAGGTAACCAACCTTGACTATTTCGCGGCCATCGCCATAGAAATATAGTTAACTTTCGTCAAAGAAAATATACAGATAATAAATACCTTTAGTTCCTTTGTAATCAACTTCAAGTTAGCTTATAGTTAGATACATTTCCTGCTGGGTAATTAGATGTCTGCAAACAATTTTATCTACATGCATACATACATATATGTTTGAAGATGTACTACTGTAAGCTGTGTAATTGTTCAGATAAGATTATTGCCTAGCGCTGTCAATGAAAACACTTCGTTTTTGATTATTTAAATGATGACGGAAAAATTAGCGAAACCCCCGTTTTTTATTATCTGATCTGAGTCACCGCAAAATGGGGAATACTTTCTCCTAAAACTTAGTACGAAATGTACATCAAATATAATTAACAATTAGATTAGATACACCGTTAATTTGTTTAGATTTTACAAGGTGTATCATGTTTGTTGTATGTATATGGAAAAAAAAAAACTTTAGACACTTTTGTATCCATTTTGAATTAAAATTTAAAAGTCTAACAAAACATTTAGAAACTGAATAATAACAACGATAACGACGAGGAAAAGATCAAGGCTTAAAACGGAGCTCGAATAAATCTAACTTTCAAGACTAAAGCCAAAATTTCGAAATTTATCTCAAAATCAGATATTGTGAATTTTAGGTTATACCAGTTAAAAACTCATATGAGAGGTTAATTTTCTTAAGTAACGTTATGACACAGGCGAATATGTGCGAATTGCTTTTAAGTATTTATATGCTTTTGTTAAAAAAAAAACGATTATGTTAACAAATTTGACAAATTTTAATAAATTCGGCCAGGGACTGTTACCGTTACTTATCTGCTGATCTGAAATGGTTCATATATCTGCTTGTGATCACCGATGATAAAGCTAACCATAAAGATATGTTGCTCGAGCAATGGGAAAGCTAAGCTATGCTGTCACGGATACAAAAAAAAAACGTTACTTCACTTGTCAGGGTAAAAAGAGTATCTCATACGGTTTGAAAGGTAACAGCTTCATGAACAGTATAGTACTACTTAAAAATAAGGTACTTTACTGTGACTCAGACAGACAGTGGACATAAAGAGTCCGATCAAGGATTATCGCGTCCTTAGGTGACATAATCTGTTATGTGTTTGTAAAATCCGATTTTTTGAGAAATAAAGTTAGTTTAGCTGTCTACTAATGTGTATTTGTGTATTCATCCTCAATTTGTTACACCCGTCACAAAGTCAAGTCACACACGTCACAGTGGCGTTTGGAATATATCTATAATTTCCAATATAGGTGAGTAACTTTGGCGTAAATGTTGAAAATGTTTATTTGACTATACAACGAACTATTTAAAATTATAAGTAGAAAACGTAATTAGCAGAAAAACTCTGATAATTCGATTGCGTACTCGTCACACCCGTCACATTGACTTAAATTCATACAACTCGTTTGGATTAAATTGTTTTTAACATTTTTGTTTAGGCATTGTGTACACATATCTTTATATATATTACAGTTTAAGAACTAAGCCTTAAAATGTGAGTTAAAATGTCACACCCGTCACCGTGGAATGAGAAATGTATAAAAACATTTTATTCATATAAATAGGCAAGCATGAATCAATTTGTGAACAATGTTCTCCTATGTTTCCTCACCGGTTCAAATGGTTGATGCTTTGCAGGAAAAGTGTTTTGTAGGAGGAGTGCACATAGTTTTAATTTTTCCAATAGGTGACGAAGGGGTCGAGCTATGCTAAAAAATCGCATTTATGGTCCGATTTTCTTCAAACGCGGAATATATATTCGCTACATAAGGAGAAATAAACCCGATAAAAATGGATAACATATTCGAGTTATTTCAAATTGACGTCCATACAATATGCTATCATATACACATATGCTTTCTATTTTAACTGAACCGGGCCTTTTTTGGAAAACGATAATAAAATCGATAAATATCGATAACAAAATCGATAAAAATATCCACAAAAAAATCAATAAAGATATCGATAGCAAAATCGATAAAAATATGCATAATAAAATTGATAAATATCGATAACAAACTCAATAAATCTCGATAAGAAAATCGATACATATCGATAGCAAAACCGATAAATATATCGATAACAAAATCGATTAATATCAATAACAAGATCGATAAATATCGATAACAAAATCGATAAAAATATCGCTAACAAAATAGTTAAAAACATCGATAAAACTATCGATAAAAAAATATCCATAACAAAATCGTTAACAAAATCGATAAATATCGATAACAAAATCGATAAATATAGATAACAAAATCGATAAATATCAATAACAAAATTGATAAATATCGCTAACAGATTCGATAAACATCGATAACAAAATCGATAAATACCGATAAAAAAACGATAAATAGCGATAACAAAATCGATAAACATATCTATTATTATATCAATAAGTTCCGAAAATATCGATAGCAAAATTGATAACATAAAAATTTCGATAAAAAAATAGTTAAAAATATCCACAAAAAATATCTATAAAAAATCGATATAAATATCCATAACAAAATCGATATTAAAATCGATAAATATCGATTACAAAATTGATAAAAATATCGATAACAAAATCGATACAAATAGCTATTATTATATCGATAAGTTCCGGAAATATCGATAGCAAAATTGACAACAATATCGATAAAAATTTCGATAATAAAATCGATAAAAACCTATAAAAATATCGATTATTTTATCGATAAGTCCCGAAAATCTCTAATAGTTCCCAGATTGAGTCTCTGCGTCTCTCTCTCTTTCTAATCTTTCTTGCCCTATCTTCATCTTTACTTTTATCGGTATCCCCTTCCTCCACTTTGTCTTTACTTTTATGGTTATCATTTTCTTCATCTACATATTCCCCTTCACCTTTGCCCTTACATATATAAGTAAAATGTTTAATTTTCCTTGGTCTTCATTTTTGCCTTTATCTTTAGCATCTTTGTTTTTGTTTTTATTTTTACCTTTGCCTTTATCCTTTTCTTTATCTATGTACGTAGTCACCTTTACTTTCATTCTTGTATTGGTCTTTTTCTAAGTGTTATTCTTTAACCTTTTATTAGTAAATTCTGGTTAAATTAATACCATATGCATACACACATGAAGCACTTGTTACAGCCCCAACCAATTCCGTTGCACCATTTCCGTGTGAAATTTCCGTTTCATTTGCCAATTCACTCCCAACCAACCAACCGCCGCTAAAAAAGTTGCACTTCAAAAATCTTCTTCTTTGTTGAATTCTAAATACATTGAGGCGTATTCTTGCTTACGAATCGAAAATTTGGACTTTTCGTATAGAAAATGATGGAAAAAATTCATGATTTTCGATTCGTACGAAAACAGGAAAATGCCTTCACTAGAATCGGCACTTTTACATTGGTAAGATATGGTGAAGCGCAAAATAGAGTAGTTCGATCGGTTTAATTTAAATATGTTAACAGTCCACAGAGAAATGCAATTTTTATACAAATATATTATTCGTTCAACATTTAATTTGTGTGCTAAAATGCATTTGTGGCGATATGTCGTTCGTCCCACAGACAAATATGTAACTGACTTCTCTCAAATAAATACTTATAAAATAAGAACTGACACACAGAGGCGGCATACGATTATTAACGGAAATATCTAACTCATACACACGCGCACAAATACTTACATGCTTACAAAAGTATCCAATTGAAAAAGTTCTACATATTTAAAATACGTATTTGTAAATGAGATTATTTGGCAATCGAATGCTACAGAACTACAAAGCTCTAAAAAGTACCTGTTGCAAGTGAGTCAACCAACCCCTTGATTTGTTTGTGTAGTACGTTCGTAGGAGAATGCAGTGACTGAAAGTTAAGTAGTACTGCAATATCCTTATCTCATCTGAACTATGTTTGAACAGAGAAGTGCTTAAATGTCTACGGCAGGCGTACATATCTATGTACATACATACATATATTAACAGAGAAGACGTTAAAAGCGATTTAGTAGCACTGAGGATGCGAAACTGAACAGATTTGTGAAAAATAATTTTTACCGTTAGCAAAAGTGTTTGTCCGCCACAATCCAAAAAATATATAATAATACTCGTAATTAGAAATTCTAAAAACTCAAAGTCAACTACTCAGTGAAAACAATTAAAATCGAAAATGGTTGGAACGGAGGTGAAAGCACCATCACCTTCACAAAACGGGACTGCCATGCAGCAATCTCTAGGAACCATCGGCCATTCCGAGAAGGGCAGTGCAAAACCACTCTCACCTTCAGAATATTCAAATGATGACAGAGTTTCTACGATATCCGAGAAGAGAACTATAATTGAACCGGCTGTATTTCTAATATATATTTCCACAACAATTGCTGGTAAGATATTTAATTTATACCCTTAAAAATTGCTGGCATGTAACGAGTTTTTCTTCATTTTCAAATAAAAATAAATAAGGGGCCGTCTTGCAAAATCAACTACTTTTTCAAACCTGCGTCGCTGTTTACGACTACGATAAAGATGTTTGTGAGCCACTGCTGGGAGTTAAAGCGAAAAATGATGATGCGATTGTAAGTGCATATCTACTTGTAACTGTGGTCTGTCTTTTAGTGTGAATTATAATTGTGTTTTAAACACGGTGTACTTAA